CCAAACAAACCCAGATTAAGACTTTTTGATATCTAGTCAGCATCAACCCATAGCTGATCTTCCACTGGGTTTCTGACTCTGTAATTTATATGGGAGTAGACTGCTACTCTTTCTCCGAAGGAACCATTGATGGATTCAAAACACTACAGAAGCAAAGCCTTTGCTTTAGCAGGGAAATGTGCTTCGGACTACACCACTAGTGCTTCTTAAAACTTGCTACTGCCTTTATCTCTACACTCAACGTGTTTATAAATCACCTTAGTAACTACGGAGTTAACACACATCTGAGTTCTGTCATTTCTATTAGCAGGCAAAGACTGAATAGTTCCTTTCTGATTGATTGTTGTTTGTTTAACTATAAACAGAAAAACTTTTTTCACTGAAAACTAAAGGTATCATTCACTTAATGAGTCCAGCCACTTGTAGAGTTGTATCTGATATGTTACTCTTGCTTTGTCAGACTAATCTGTCCTTGGGAAGATGGTATGTCTTTTTGTTATACCCACTGTGTTATCCATTTCCAATCTATTACATTCAATTCAAGGGATTGGGTCTGTGGAAGCAAGTATTGAGGTGGAGACAGAAGTGCTGGGTGTTAATAAGAAGTTCATTTCTGTGAAAGGGAGAGGGGGGTAGGAAATGGCAGGAGAAGTCAAAATGTGATGCAGACCCAATAGAATGAAGATCTCTTGCGTGAGCCTTTTTGGTCAAAATTGTCTATTAGCTCTCATTACTAAACAATAGTCAATTTTTAAATTCTTTTTATTTTATATAGGTTTGCTTACAAAGCTCATATACATTGTGTTTCACACTGTTCATCATTCTCATTATGTTTTGTACAATCATTCCCATACATTGTGTTTTATAAAATTAATTACCATTGGCGTATACCTACCACTACCTTGCCTTTTCAAGTCTCCACTGGATCTTTCCTATTTCCTTTACCTACTCCGTCCACCCATCAAATTGTGCAACTCTGTGATTTCAACCCTACCCGTCATCACGCCTCTGCTCCCACTCTGTATGACCCAATTATTCCACTACTGAGATTACACCCCAAGGAAATTAGAACTGAGACACGAACAGAGATTTGTGTACCAATGTTCATAGCAGTGTTATTCATTATCTCAAGAATATGGAAACAGTTCAAAAGTCCAACCACAACTAAATGGATTGAGAAATTGTGGTACATTCATACAACGGAATACTATGAAGCATTCAGGAGCAACAATTTCAAAAAATACTACATAACTTTGGAGAGGCTGGAGAACATTATGCTGAGTAAACTAACTCAGTCTCAGTAGGTGAAATACTGCATAAGATCGTTATTGTAAAAATAGAAGGATAACTAGCCAATTCTTTATATTCCTGCATTGTTGAGTCACACGATGTAGGATATGCTAGGAAAAGCCTGACCTTGAGCAAGGAAAGAGGCTTATTATTTACACATGGGCCACAGGTGGAGTTTATCTTTTTCCAGAGTTTTCCCTGTAACTAGACAGAAAAGCCTTGAAGCAGTCTGGCATCTACAGCACATGAGGTATTCTTTCAGAGCTCCTATATAATCTTTCTCAGAGTGTCCATATATTAAGATCTAAGTACTTTCCTTTCTAACAGTGACTTGCTAACATTAATTTCATTAATTACTACTACTCTTTGTGTCCTTTCTTTTGTTGCCATTGCAGCTATAGCTGTTGCTGTTGATATTTTTGCTATTATCTTTGTCTTTTTCTTTTTTTCAGTCTTTGTCCATTCACCACAAGTTTTCTATGGATTAAATCCTCACACTTAGGCCATCACCTAAATAGGTTATGGGAATGACACTAACTAGGAAAGACTACAGATAAGGGATTAAGGGGAAAATAATAGGGACATTTTCTTTTGAGAGGATAGACAAGAATTCCTTTAGGAAGAGAAATTTAAAGGAAAATTATTTAATATCTTTGAAATAATGTTCCAATAATGGAAAGTGTTGTTTGGGATAAAACTGTCAGAAGTCTCAAAAACTAACCCAAACTCTCTGCCATCAAGTCAGCTTGGACTTATTGTTGTTGTTATTGTTAGGTGCTGTCTAGTCAAGTACAACTCACAGCAATCCTATGAACAACAGATCTGAACTCGTCCTATCTTGTGCCGTCTTCATCATCTCTGACACACTTGAGCCCATTGCTGTAGTCACTGGGTCAATCTATCTTGTGAAAGGTCTTCCTCTTCTTTGCTGCCTCTCCATCTTTTCACACATGTTCACGTCCAAGGAATAGCCTCTCCTAGCAACTTCCTTAAAGTCCTCCGAGGAGCACTCTGGTTGTACTATTTCCTAGATGTTTCTGTTTGTATTTTTGGCAGTCCATGAGATACTCAGTACTTTTCTTCAACACCACAACTCAAATTATATAAATTATTCTTCTGTCATAATTATTTACCATCTAGTTTTCAGATGCATAGAAAGTGATTGAAAAGACCCATGGCCTGAATCAGGCCTGTTGGTCTCAAAATGACACCATTACTCCTCAATAATTTGGCGAAGTCCCTGACAGCAGACTTGCCCAGTGCAATATAACTCTTGATCTGCTAACTGCTTGAGTGTTGATTGTAGATCCAAATAAGATGAAATCAGGAAAATTTCAATCTTTTCTGTATCTATCCCATTATTGCTTATTGGTCTAGTAGTACAGATTTTTGTCTTCCTGATGTTGAGATCCATATAGAAGACTGTACCTTTTGATAGTAAATGCTTCAAGGCTTTCTTGTTTTCAGCAAGCAATCTATTCTCCATCTATCATAATGTTGACTGTTGGCCCAGAGGTATAGTTTTTTTTCTTGATGTTGAGCTGCAATCCATACTAAAGCCTATGCTCTGATCTTATGCAGCAAATGTTTCAAGCCCTCCTCATTTTCAAAAATCAAGGTTATGTCATCTGCATAATGCAGGTTGTGATGAGTCTTCCTTCAATCCTGAGGCCACATTCTTTTTCATAAAGTACAGCTTCTTCAATGATTTGCACAGTATACAGATTGAACAGATATGGAGAGAGGATACAGCTCTGACACACACTTTTCTTGAATTTTTTTTAGCTCATTAATTCTTTTATTATTACTATTCACTTTTCACCCTCCTTACATTTAGTTTGAGTTTCATTCTTATACACACACTTAGACACACATTATTTTAATT